GAAAAGTTATACAATGATGCAAATCAGCAATTAAATATGACATTTGAAGCGTTTAAGGTAAAGGAAAACCAAGACAATATGTTTAAAATAATGCTTAAAAACTTTTGGCACAACACATACAAAAGACATGAACCAACAAGAGCGCAAGCAACACAAACACTGAAAAACCAACGCGACACAATGGTGTCAGCCTTTACTACAATGCTTGACAACAACAAACCGCCAGAACCACCGCCAAAGAAACCACCAGACGAGGAGGACAGCGATGAAGAAGAAAAAAGATTCAAACTGACAAAAATGATAGAAATAATGCTACACAACGGCGCTACAGTAGCAGATATAATATTAAACTTATCACATAGCGCAATTGCAACAACAATAAATATCGCAGATTTAGTTAATCAAATAACAGCAGGAAATGCACAAGGTAGCAGTAGCAATTCATCAAATGAAGCTATTAGTGTTCATAGTTCGCCACCTATTACTGTTCATAGTTCTTCATCTGAAAGTCCAACAGAAATACCAGCACCAACTGAAGACGAAGAAGAAGAAGACGGAGAAGAAAAACAAAAATATAATTTTGAAAAATTAAAATCTAAATAATATTATATATAATGGGTTCAAGTAAATCAAAACCAGTAGAAATTGATGATGAAGAGGCTATTAAAGTAATAAAAGATATAGATGTAAATACGATAAGTGAAATGTCAAGAATTGATATTCTACAAATAAATTCATTGAAAGCAATAATAAATAAATTAGAAAAAGTTAATGAATGTAAAAAAGATAAAACATATTATAAATTTCCTGCCTTAAATTTATGTAGCTATTCTTTATTCTAAATTGATAATATTAACATACATTAATATTATTAATTACTATCATAATCTGTCATTTCATCTTCTGGTAATTTTGTTGAGGCATTGCTACACATATCATCTATTAAATCTTCTTCATCAACAAAGTTATTTTGAAATCTTAATAATTCCTCGTCTGTTGGTCGTCTTTTTAACACTTTATAAAGTTTATGTATCCAAGAATTAGTATGAAAATTGTAATTACCTCTACGATAAAATCCACCACATCTACATAGTTTCATTAGCATATTATTATATTATATTAAATTAGAATATCTTTATTCATCATTTGTAATTTGAAATGCCTGTTCAAAACGGAGAAAAAACATTTTGTTAATGTCCTTAGCATTCATATTCACGTAGAAGAAACTATAAGGTGCGTCATTAACGGCTTGATGATACATATCTAATAATTGCTGTTTATCAACAATGGCGCTATTTTCTTCAATAAAACTCATTAACTCACTTGCATTTTTCAACCTAAAAATATATAATGAACTGGCATTTAAACGAATGATAGGCGCTAAAACATTATATTTTTGTGTTGAACAAATTACACTTACTGCATCGTGCCTACCTCTTGTAAATAATCCATGTAATAATTTACTATATCTAACAAATTTAGGATCGTCTGCGTGGTCATCTATAACGATTAATATTGAATGCAGTTTCTTTATCTTTTTAGATTTCATATAATTAATTATTTTCTTCTGTCTTTCAATTACATTTTCTAAATCACTTGGATTATAATTATCAAAATAATTTGTTCTTTTTCATCATCCACGTGCAATTCATCCCTGATATATTTTTTAACTTCTGTAAAGGTTGGGTCATTATGAACGCTGGGGGAAAATATAAATATTCTTGCAAATGAATTTCTATAAACATTTAAGATAAGGTTCTGAACCAAGACTGTTTTGCCACCTGTCGAAGAAGCAACTATAATACTTCTAAATGGTAATTTTGGCACGTGCTCATATTTAGATTGTTTGAATTCATATTCAGTTATGTTTATTGGCTTTATTATTGGAACATCTGACATAATAAAATAATATTAAAGTTATTTAGAAAATATTTTATATTTATTATTTTATATGAATAGAAGCTATTCAGATTATATTGATATAATAGATGAAGTAGAGAATTTAGAACAAGTTGTTATAACTGATAATAGATGCAAGAAAGTATGCTATTTTGTTTTAGAAATAATTAAGTTTATGATACAATATATCAAAAATAAAAATGGAAATATTAATATAAATGGGAAGAAAGAAAAAGAATAAGACTGAACCAGTTGTTTCTTCAACTGATGAAGACAAAGAAGAAGTTGTTAAAGAAACATCAGTTATTGAGTTTGCTTGTCCGATGTGTAAAAGAATATTAGAAATGAAAAATGAATTAGAAATTCAAAAGAAAGGAAATTGCAAATGTTCGTGTATTCCAGCCAGTTTCAAAATAAGTAGAAATGATAAGAAAATGAATATTGATAAAGCTAAAGACAGTATCAACTTAGAAACAGATGTTCATAATATTGCTATACGCTTTGGGAGGGGAGTTACTCCATCCGATAATGGTGATAAGGAAACTCAGGAAACTATTAAACAAATGATGAAAAATTAGTAATTAAAAAGTAGATTTAACATAATTTAAACATTTAGTTTTAAAAGTTTTATTTTATAATATAATATATATATATTTACATGGATGAAGGATTAGAAAAGATGGTTAAAAAACTGAACAAGGTTTTAGAACAGAATAAGAATATTTTAGAAATCTTGCAAGAAATGGAAAAGAAGAAACCGCTAACAAACAGTTATCAAAGTAAAGAAGTAGATCGAACCAATGGTGAATATAAAAATAAAAGAAATATTTATTTAAACAAACTTAATAACAAAGAAATTAAAGAACCGAAGGCTTCAACTATGACATTTTATCAAATTGACTATGATGAAGATACAGGGGTTTATTCTTGATTGAAAACATTTTTCTCTGAAAATCCGTTTAAAGACATATTGGCATAACTAAGATTATGAGTTCTACAGATGACGAAGAAGAAACAGGATACACAATGGTTTATCCTTGCAGTAAATGCGACGAAGCAAAGCCAAGAAAGGACTTTCACAAAATGTATGACAGAATTAAAATGGAAGAGATATTTTACAAAACATGTAAGGAATGCAGAGACAAAGTAAAAGCAACAAAAGAGTTAAGGAAGGAACAGAAGAAACGAATACAACCCCTGGAAATACATAGATTAAAGCCTTTGATACCATAGTTTTGCTATACTTACAACATGTAAGATCTTATATGTTGTAATTATAATTCGCTTGATTTAAAAGTTTCCCTGAAAATGTATTTAAAGAAATATTACCTTAATATAATAAGAGGAAAATGAACGATGATAAAATCAATAATTATATCAATAAAAAATGCTATGATTGTTGTCACTTCAAAAAAGAAAATATGGAATTGTATAAATTAAATTTGCCTATTGAAATAGTGAATATTATTATTAATTATTCAATGGATGAAGAAGATATATGCGAAAATTGTAAAACCTGGAGAGATAACCAAGCTATAATCAATTGTGTGTTGAGAAAAAAAATAAGACATAATAGAAATGTAGAAGATGACATTTTGATATTTTTAACTGTAAATAAAATACCACCTTATGAATATGTTAAACAGTTTCTTAAAATCAGTAAGAAAAAATATGTAATGATTGCTGATATATTATTGATGTTGTGTCATAGTCAAAAGAAAGGACAAGATATTAAAGAATATATTAAATTTTATATTGAAATTTATAAAAAGTTTAATGTTAAAAATACAGTGAGAGATATTAATATTATTTTTAAAATGATGTATGAAAGAAGTAATATTTGTCAATTAAATTATTATCCTGTACTGAAATTGTAATCATAATATAATAATAACATATAAATGTTTATATGTTATAATTATAGTTTAATTTTCCCATATAAGCCGTGGGGGTGCTTTCCTACATAGGCCTTTCCCGATCCGCATTTTGCCATCCATATTTTACTGGGATTGTTTTCAAGATTTGGGTTAACGGTTTTAATTCTCCCTTTTCCATTGGTTAACCATTTTTCGGGGCGAACATAGGGTTCTTTTTTAGACTGTTCGTATTTGTTGGAAATGGGAAAGGGTCTCAGGTTGGATCAAGGGAGAAATTATTGAGATCTTGGGGTTGCGATCTTGGGAATGAAAAAATGTTGGTATGTAGCTTGGATTTTTTTGGTGGGATTTGTTGAGGTGGTATGTAGTTATGATTATTGTTATTGAATGAGCATAGGGGTGATGTTGAGATGGGGTAAGAAATGAAGATGGGTATGTGAATATGTGTTTTTTGGTGTTGGATTGGTCGGGTGATTGAATTTGAATGTTGAAAATAGGTTGTTTTAGTGGGCGTATTCAGAATGTGCCCAAAAGTGTGGGGGGGACCCTATGACCGGATGGCAAAATGCGGACGGGAGAGGCCACCACTAACTCTTAGACCCCCCGCTCAACGGCCAGGACTCTGGACAGTTCTCAGGGAAACGTGGGGGACACAACTGCAAGAACCGTTGTTTGTTCTTGATGTTTGCTTGCTAGAGTTGTTGTTTGCCTTTGGTTGTGCACTAGGCTGAGCCGAGCTCTTGTCACTTGATAGATTTAAGTTCTGATTACTCCGGAGGACCGTACTCGTCCGAGGAGCCCTTTTAAGCGAGCTGATGTCCCACGAAAAGAGGGCAGTGCCTTAGATCTTAGAAAGGGGGTAGTAGTCCTGGTTATAGGAGGCTTATGACCATATTTGGACTACGGACGCGCATTGGACCCATGGCCATTTGGGCCCACCGTGACTGGATTGAGCAGGAACCATATATTGGTTATTCATATGGCTGATTCTCAAAATCGTGGTTTTCCTCTCGGTTTCCCTTTGAAACCATTCAAAACGTGAGCCACAATCAAAACCGGGGCGAATGAAGGTTAGTCAGGGGCAGTCCCAGCCAGAACTAGTTGCGGCCGCCTTCTTAATTCTTTACATGGTTCTGGGTAGGCCATTTTAATACCGGGCTTTGATTGTGACTCACGTGGGTTCCCCTTGAGAAACGCCCAGCTATAGGCGAGCCACTGGAACGCAGGCTCCTCGCCCGGCGCCGTGCGAGAGCTGCGCGCTGCCGCAGATCAGCCGCAGCTTGTCGCAGTTCTGCCGCGCAGGCGCCGGGGGGGTTCGGCGGCTTCCGCCTGATTTTCCACGGGTCCATGGGATGGATTCTAGGTCCCCAGTAGTGCCCTTTTACCCTTTTTTGGGGGGAGGGTTCCCCTACTAGAAAAGAAGACTACAGAAAAGGGTGCCCTTATTCGAACCTCTCTACTGAAGGACCATGAAGGACCTAGGATTCCTAAGGGAACTTCAGCATGTGCGCTGGGACGAGTACGGAGTAAACCTGAAACAACCACTTCTGGGCCAGTCCCTTCAGACCACTGGCACCCGACGTGGAACCCAACGTGGAACCCACGTTGCGCCGCATCGCGCCAGGCCCCTCCGCTTCGGCCGCGCCTGCGGCGCGCGGGGAGTGGGTGGGTGGTGCTCAGCGCTGGCGCTTCCGTCGCCAGGCGGGGTCGAAGGGCGAGAGTTGCACTTTGAGTCACAACCATGTTGCTAGGGGGTGCGTCGCCCAAAGCTTCCTTTCTTGGGGGTCCCTTACTTGGGCCGAGAGCCAGACTTCAGGTGCCCGCATCCTCGCAGTTATAGGGCTTCTAATTTCTTGACTTCGTTGAGGACGGGGTCCTTTACATTTCTCGTTTGCCAAAGGAATGGCACAGTTCCAGATGCTGGGTTCCAAGCAAAACCCGATTCCAAGCTGGTCGGTATTACCGTCACGGAAGCTGAAAGAAGACGACTGTCCTGGTGTAGAAGCCCCTTGTCCACTTGCATGATTGATTAAAAAGAGGGTAATGTGTGCGTGTGTTTGTGCCACGGAGCCTGAGACCAAAGGCTTTTAGGCGGCACATGTGTGCTGCCAATTGTTGACCCGTGGGCAGGTGTGATCCGCATGGATTGTCTGGGATGCGGACGGCTTTTTACAGTATGTTTTATGAGGGAACTCGTTGGCAGGCTGGTTCCAAGGGAAACCAAAAGACACATCACCATGTTCCTTGGGGTCGCCCTTTGACGCATACCCTCGAAAATGGTTGACAGGAGTCTTTCTGGGAGTGTGGAAGGCTGATGGGGCACCAGGACGCGCCATGCCGCAGCGAACGCTCTGAGTCGCCCACCACTTGCTCAAGAGCCCGGAGGCCCAAGGTGTGAATCGAAGCCCTTTTCATGGCCGATTGGGCAAGGTTTCCCTTCAGCCTCAAAAGTGTTTGGGCGTGCGTCCCCACAAGCTCTGATGTCCAAAAGGTCCTCTGCCAAAATTAATATGCAGGTGAGGTTAGGTCAAAACAAGCAGTCTATGGTCCATTTGGGAGGGACAGGGGGACGAGCTTCACAAAATCCAGGGCAGTCACCACGCCCCTAGAAAACGAGCCGCTTTTTACATTTCTTAAAGAACCAAGTGGCTATGAAATTGAACCGGGAACTCCTTAAGCGGTGGGCATAAAGTTTAACACGCAAAATGGTGCCCACCAAAGGGTCTCGAAGTGGAATTCAGACCTTTTTCAAGAGGATGGTCAGTTCGGTGGTCTTCCAAAACCTTCCTCTCAATTGAAACTCATCCCCAAATTGGTGTGTCTGCTTTAACCGGGTTGTGGGATCAAGGGGTTTACCCCCACTTCTGTGATATAAGAAGTCTCCCCCTTTATGTTGCATGTCAGTCTTTGCGACGCCCTTTCCGTATCACAGAAGTGGACATTTCCCCCGGCCCTGTTCCTTAAGGTTGGCCCCCCCCACGTGGATGGTTTCCTTATGGTTTCCCTCTAAAGCCCATCCAAAACGAGGCACCGAATGATTTCGAGCGTGCGCAAGGCCATGCACCCGGTGACCGCCCAGCGATGGGACCTGAAAGCCCGCAGCGCTTCAGACTCCGCCGCTCGGCGCTGGGAAACGGCCTGGAAAAAAACGGCGCTTTCCCTTGTGGCTATTTGCTAGGTCAAGTAGTGCCCCTCTTAACCCGTTTTTGGAGGAGAGGGTCCCCTACTAAAATAGACTACAGAAAAAAGGGTACCCTTATTCTAGCCTGTCTACTGCAGGACCTAGTTTGGGTGTGGCTCAAAACTCAACAGCCGGGGTTACGCAGGATTTAGTCTACCCTTTTCATTTGCTAGGGCTCCATTTTGGACCCCTATTTTTGAGCCACACCCATTTGGCAATGGATCTTTGGACTGTAGCTTTTTGGTTGAAGCAGTGGGATTTTCCGAATTGGACCCACGAAAAGGTTAGACCTTTGAGGGGTGAACAGCAACCAAGTTTCGGGGTCCATCGGTAGGTAGGGCGCCTTTTACCTATGCGATGGTCATCCATGTTCAAAGGAGATCCACCCTGAGCATTGGGCAACAGTAAGCCACTGAGCGATGTTGGTTTTAAATGGCTCCCTCCAATTTCCCTTTTGCTTGCTTTAGGCATTGCCTTTGCTTAATTGTTGCGTGAGTTTCCTCTTGTGACGATGCTTTTAGGTTGGACACTGTGGACCCTAAACGGGTGCTATTAAAGTTCCAGCTTGCACCAAAGGACAATCAAGTGTGTATCCGAAAGGAACCCATTTGATATGGGTGAGATCCGCGGGTATACTGTGTGGACCAAATCCAATTGGCGCCAGTTGGGGTCATCCCAACCAGTATTCAGATCGAGTTCATCCATCCCAACTGCCTGGCGTGAATATGTTTCAAGCCTGAGCGGTGATGTTACCCCGGGTAACCGGCAACCCCCCGTTTCATTGAAGTTGGAGGGGGGGTTGTCCCTTTTTCGTGGGGATCCTTTACTGTGGTTAACACCCCCCCCCTACTGGCATGGGGTTTGTCCACAGAGCTCTCACTCAGCCATTTGTCGGCTTTTTGTGGGCCAGGAGCTCAAGAGGCTCGGCTACCACCCCGGCCTGCCACGTGCACGAGGCGCACCGAAAAGGGAGCCATGGGAAGCCCGGCGTTTCTTTTCTGAATTTGGCGCGCAGAGGCGGCATTATGTCCAACTTGCCACGGATGGTGCTCCTACACCGCCGTAAGCCCCCCCCCACAAGGCCTTGTTGGGGGGGCCATGTTGCTCCTCTGACTCAACTTGGTTCTGAAGTTCCTCATGGCCCATTCAGACTGTTTATTCTTCCAGCCTTGAACCTTCAAGGGTCCCTTGAGGAAAACTGTCCTCCAGGTAGCTCCAGGTTCCACGTTGGGAGGGTGCAGTTCGGGAAAAGTAGACGTTGCAATCCCATGTGGGTAAGCAAGTGGCCCAAACCTACATGGGCCAGCTGTGCCATCTACGTTCGCCATGGACCACCGGTCGCAGCATTGCCACAACCCCGAGGTGGCCCCAACGCCCAGTCCCGCTTCAAGGACCTGGCGCCCCAACGCGAAACCGTGTCGAAGTCGACTTGGGAACCTGGGTCTTTAGACTTCAGCTTTTCGGGAAATCAAGGGGTTTTCCACTAAACCCCCAAGAAGTTAAACCTTTTTGCGGGGGGGCAACAGCAACCAAGATTCAAGGCCAACCTGGTTTTGGGATGGAGCTTGCAAAGCACGCTCGGCGTTTGGGGAGGGGCCCGCGATTTCGGTTGTGGCCCGTTGTTGGCACATACTGGCCCACCTCGTGCCTTTGTTCTTTCAAACCCGGAGTCGTTCGAGACCTTCGAAGTCTGTTTTTGTTGTTGTCTTGCTTAGTGCTTAGTGGTGGCTGGAACCTTGTTTCAAGCTATGGACATTTGTTGGACCAGTAGATGAACAGGTCCCGCAATTTTGATTATTCCCCACCACAAACAAACCCATCCGTCGCTCAGCTTACCGCTTTTGGACCTCCAAAAGCAGCGGTCCTGTTATTGGAGCTTGCCGACAAGTTCATCAATGTTTGATTTTCCTGCCTGAACGTAGCATGAGTTGACGCATACATACCACAACCAAAGCCTCATGGGAACCCCAAAAAAAACGCCCTGGCTGATTAATTATCAGTGGAGTGGAACACCCCCCAACGCCATTTGAGATGAACTAAACCCTATGAAGAAAGGGGCAAGCCACCTATCAACTTGTGCAGGAAGCGACCATCAACAGTATTCATTGGAAGGAATCTGGGTCGACATTCTGTGCATTGGGAGGGGCGTTTCCCAAAGGGCCGCTGCCGGTTTTCCGCCCTCCAGATCCTTATGCTGTTTTGGTTGCTGTACATGGCTTACATGGGGATCAGACAACTCCAAACAGGAAGCATGCGCCCTTTGGGTTTCCCATCCAACACGAACATACGTATATGTATATATATATATATATATATATATATGTCGCATGACTGTGCCTGTGGCTGGATCGCGATTTTCTTTAGTGCGAGGTGCCCGGCCTTGCCTCCAGGTACCGGAAGATCTGAGGGCCAATAGCGATTGCTTTGATCCGCCCCCTCAGGCAGGGTGTCGACATGAATGAATACACCTGGCAGCAAAGGCGGGTTCGTTACTTGGCCGCCTTTGCCACTGGAAGGATATCCTTTTTCATGGTCTGACTAGTGGTTGTGTGCTCTGTGTGAGTTTGCCTAAAGGCCTCCATGGTCCGGATCCTCAATGATTTGATTCGCAACATTCCCTTGGAAATCCCCGAGGTCTCCCCACTCGGCTGCGTCCTGATGTTTTTCAGATGCGCGCGCTGGCGGCAGACCGGGAACACCGGCGCAAGGCGGGGCCCGGCGGTTGACCTTGTCTTTGGTAGATCAAACGTGGAAGTTGCATGGCCATTTGAAGGGCTTTCCAACACAAACTCTGCGTGCTCTCAGCAGCAAATATCATCACCGCTGGCCACGATAGACGTGGACCTGGTCAGACCCAGTCAAGGCCCCTTCATTCCCAGCGAGTCAAGAGGCAAACCTGAAGTCATCGCTGGCGAGCATGGCTGCGGCAAGATTTCGGCGGTTGGAATTCCCTTTATCTCAGAACCAACCCCCCGTAGCCGGTCGCATGCTTCAGGGTCAGGGTGGTACTCACGATTCCAATAAATACCCTGCTACTCGAGGAACCTGACAAAAGCAGGGTTGGCAGCAAAAGCAGGGTTTTGCTACTCGTCGAAAACTAGGTGTTCAGTTGCTTGACTGAAACCCGTGCAAGAATCATACACTACCTGTGTAAAAGCAGCAGTATTTTCCGTATGCTTTGTGACAAAGCCTGGTTGTTTTTGGCAACTTTTTCCAGACTTTCAGGACTGCTGTGTATTCTCTCAGGGTCATACATATGTGGGCATTTGTGAGTAACGGGCATGAATATAAATCGGAGACCCAAAAAATGTAATTGTCCTTTCGGTTTACTTCAGATCCGCCCAGACAAGGGATCCCCAACAAACACATGCCCCATATTGCAGCAAGTACCTGGCGCGTGATTTGACTGAGGCATATTCTCCCAAACCCGCTTTGGCCAAGCCTTTTCCAGGTGAAGTTGCAGACGTTGGATCGCATCAGGGTACTGCGCTATGAGGACGCAATCCTGACGGACCGTATCCGACGTTCCCTCAAGCCGGCGGGAAACCAGCATATGGGCTGTGTGAGGCTCATGTAAGAGTGTATACTTGGGGCACGTACCCCAAAGGTTCACATTCATTAGCATTATTTGGCTCTAGGCTGATGTAGCCCCCTGCCATCACAGGGTCTTTGTGAGGGATGAGGATGCCTGAAGCAGGTTGGGTAGAGCCAGGTTCCGTGGGGGCAAACCCGGGTCCCGGGGCTGGGGTTTGGGCAAATGAAACACCTAGCACTATAGGATGTTTTCCAAGGATCAGCGTGTTTTTTTTTTGGTTTGGGGAAGGTGGGCATTCGAGGCCACCAGGCGGAACCCCGAACACCCAGCACTTGAGCGAGGTTGATAAGCCCCGGAGCCAGCATTGTTTGATGTCCTGCTGTGAAATTCGCACAGCGTCAAGTGGGAATCCATTCCCTTTATGGGCTTGCTTGAGCCGCAGGAAAGCCAAGAAGCCCCTCCCTTTGAGAACCTGATGTGGTGATTCGACCCACGGTGCCTTGTCGTTTAATAGTGTTTACTGCCTGCTTGCTGCAGTGCGTGCAGATTGCCGCAGTGTTTGCTGCGAAGGGGAAACGACGCAGCACGCTGGGACGGCCAGGGCCATCTTTCCAATGCATCGAACATCTCTTCTGGCGTTTGCACGTTGAGAAGGCACTTAGGGCAACGTAGGAGCCCAGCGCTGGACGGCTGGTGGTGCAGCGGTGGCGGCCCGGCTACGTGGATCTCAAGGCCCGAGTTTTCCCGTTTCGGGGCCTGGCATCCAGTGATATCCAGGAAATGTCCCGAGGAAAATCGAAGTCCAGCTGATTCCTCGGGTGTCTTTTTTTCCCCTGTAATGAATAGCATGCTTCCCCACAAAACCCAGAAAACCCCCCTAACCCCAACCCCCCCCCATTTTTTCAAACTGGGGTGGATTAATCCCGTCCCATGAGCCGACAATCCCCATCCACTCGGAGGCGATGGCTTTGAATCGACCCAGACGCTTATTCGCAGGGAAGCAACCAGCCCATCCAAAGAGGCATCCTTCAGAGTCCCGGCGGAGAATAATCCGCCATGTTTGTGACGTCGTATGTCCCGAGATTTTGCGAGGTTGGGATAGTGTAATTTTAATTCGGATTAATCCCTGCTTGATTTGATTGTCCCCCCTTCTCCAGGTCGCTTGGCCTGAAGCGGCTGGGGGGGGGGGGCTGCTTTTGGACATCTAGCGCTGCCTCAAAATCCAACAGTTTGTTTTTGGTGCCCATGCGATCACATATCTTTCAAAGTAGACAGGGTACCGTATTCTTGAGGCATCCCCAAAACACCCGGGGTTGGGCCCAAACGAGTGGGTGGTTTCGTTCAAGTGTTCAAGACTGGGGCTTGATGCCATGAAGATGCAGGGCGGAAGGGTCCTTGATTCTCTCTCTTTGTGTTAGAAACGCCCAGCCCGGCAACCCAACCAAAAGGAAGGCCTCCCATGGAAAACCGAAGCATTAAGCTTCCCCTTCGGCCGACCGCTTTCTGGGCAGGTCTCGCTACCAAAAGAACCCGCATCACCTAACGGATCCTGGCAAGGAGGCGGGGGGGTGGGGCCGGGTTTCGCTGTGTTTTGCAAACTGCACGAGGTTTGCACAGTGCCCAATGCGTGGTTGCCCGTTTGGCGAGACATCACTGAGAAGTTCAGCAAGGAGTTGAGTTGATCCCCCCGTCTTTTAGGAACGCCTGTGTTGAGAGTTGAGATTCTCCCTTTGGAACCCTTGGTGCTTGGAGAGGTCAAAGGAGCCTTGCAAGATGAATGCAGTGAGCTGGCCATTGATCTGAACTTAGAGACAGCTTACCATGTCGGGCCTGAGGAGCGATCCCAATGACGTTCCTGTTGGAGAGTTCCTTATTTTTAGTAGGGAATAATATGCTTGGTGGCTCCCAGCCATAGCCATGTCCCATGTACACTGAATAACTGAGAGCCACGCTGACCGGAAAAGGGGTGTGTCATCGTGTTTTGAAATGGGAGCCTGAAGAAGAGTGGTCTTGCCATTCCTTCTCCCCTTTAAACAAAACTTCGCAGGCAGTCATGTTTGGATGGACATTTCCCACATCGGCACAGAAAGGACCCAGTTCTCCGCAGTGTGCCTGCCCACCATTGCAAGGCCACGAATCGCCCAGAACTACATTCTATTCTTCCATGTGCTGAGGAATATGTTCTATTTTCCCTTCATGGTTTTGAAGGAGATCTATTACGACTGAGAATAGATTTGTTTGTAGGGGGCTTAACCAAATGGAAGTTTTGCTCCAATGCTCAAACCATGTCGTGGCGATACCTCGTCTGCCAGGGCTCCGGAACACCGTGTGTGACAACCTGGTGACATTCTCCGGGGTGTTTTAGGCGGGTGGGTGGGGAGATGGCTGGCTCTTTGGTCAACCTGTTTAAGGGTCGAATATGTTACGAACATGCGGGTTGGTTGGATCTGCAACCTTTGGCAAAAAGTGTGTATTCCTCACGCAGCAGGCAAAACGAGGGTAATAGGATGAGAGGAGGGGGTGACCTGTAATTCCCATTTGGGCGTGTCTTTGAACCGGACCTCCAAAATGCTTGGTTGCCTTTTGGTTTTCGTCTGAAGCACATAGTCTCAAAAGCGATGGCCGATTTTTGGCTCGATGCAGTCAATCAGCTTGGGGTTGGCTTTATTTGAGCTCAGGGGCGGGGGGGGCAGTTTACATGCACTTGCAGGGTGTCCTTGTTTGCCCTAGCCGATTGAACACCACTGAATGGTGCGCAAAAACGAGCCGCTGTTGTTTGTTTGACCTTGTCGAATGCTTCATCGGAAGCTAAAGCGCAAGCGCGATTTCCATTCCGGCAAGCTGTTATTTTTTTTGAAATGGAGCCACTGGCGGCCCTAGCAGAGTCTTTGGTTCTTGTCAGCTCTTTTGCTTTGGGTCGTCGGGGCCAAGTGGCTACGCTGCCCCCACCTGCATGCGTCCAGGAGGGGGGAGTATGAGCCCTTGCTTGATGATTTGACAGGGTGCGATTTGTTGTTTGCACTGTGCGTGCTTTGTGTAGGGGGGGGCAACCACAACAGCGGACAAGTGCTTTAACCTTGCACCTGGCCAAGTTAGAACGAGCTCAATGGGGGTAAAACGAGCATGAAAGCTACTTCCCTGGGGTTTCCTTATTTCCGGTTTGTGAACCATAGACTTGTGCTGGAAGCACCGCTATGCGTGGCTGCCAGTCACCAAGCTTGATGCAAGGAGGAAACAAAAAGGTTTGTGAACCATAGTTATTTGCTCAGACGTGTGGGAATATTCCAAGCAGATTGCCCGGGCGATTCACTTGCGCGCGCGCTTTTTGCTTTTTGGCCAGGCTCCATCAGCCAAGCTGAGCCACAAGCGAAGCCCGTTGGGGGAGATAGTCCCACCCATATGATATTTAGGTACGGCCGCCCTGTTGACTAGACCACTTTCATGCCAGGTTTTGAGAATCAAAACAAGTGTGACTTAGCTTCGCACTCCGTATGCTGCTCATTCATGCCGCAAGTTCCCCCCCCCCCCAAGTCTGCACAAAAGCTAACGGGATTCCTGAATTTTGGTTGGTCAATTCATGTGAATTTCGGATTTATCCGAAGGGTTTTTCTGGCTCCTTAGCGGAGCTTACCCTCTCACACAGCCAGAACGTGATTGGCATTGTCCGGATTATTCCAAGGTGACCATGTTAGCCAATCTCCGGAAATTCGTCGACAGGCAAACGGATTTGTGAGCCGCAGGAAGGCGACCAATTATCTTTGGGTCACCCCCTGAGGGGGTGCTTTTCCGCTTGGCACTGGCAAACTTGGGAGCTTCTTGGATGGCACATAGGGTTCACTGATGGCAAAGCCCAAGAACACGCGATGATTTCCAACCAAACTTGGGGGACACAAAGACTCGTTGGGTTCCTTTGGGTTTGCCGTCAATACCATCCAAGTTGGGGACGGGGGGGTGAACGTCTAAGAAATTTCAGGAGACACAGCCACACCTGCACACACACACACACAAAAATACATATGACTACGTTTCCACTTTTTCCAGAACCCTTGTTTAGCACGCACCCAGTTCCGCCGCAAAAAAGGCACGGGTCCCAATAAGACACGGCCTGGTCGCATCAACCTCCACAGGAACGAGGCCCCAGTGAACAGCAGATTCTCATACCCCGGCTGCCCTCTCGTCAGTTTTGCAGGCGTACCAGTTTCATCGAGGATTCAGCCAAAGTTCGCTTTCACTGTCAGGGACCTCACTGCATCTTGGGCTTTGGATTCGCGGTCTAAAGCAGCTCCGAACGTTCGGCACTTCGCATCCCATGACACCAGATAGGCTGCGGGGTGGTCCGGATCAGCTCTGAGGTAAGGTTCCGCAGGGTTCCGCGAGGGTCCGCAAAGGTTCTGCAGTCTAAGCTTTCGCAGGGTTTTCTTGAGCGCCGCATGTTGGTGATGTTACCTGAGCTTTTTTGTTTCTATTTTTGGGGACCAAATATGGAACATCCGATGTGATTGGTGCCATGGAGTTCGGCCTAGGCGACTTGGATGTGTCTCATCTCGTACTTGCAACTTGCAAACCCTTACTATGCATATGGGTTTCATACCCTGGCTACTCTGGGGGTCTACTAGTGACCTTGTAACTCGCTTTGTTTCGCGCGTTCCTCTCTGAAAACCAATGCATCCGCAAGGTCAGGGTGCTAGAAGCTTCCAAGAGCACTTTGCTTATGCAAAGGGGCCAGCTAGCCAAGAGCTTTTCAAGCACAGCTAGACCAGCTCCCCCCTTGCAAATTAGCATGGAAGCAAACCAGGGGCCGTTCCCTCCTTTGTATTTTGAGGGGTCCATGTTAATCTGCAAAGGGTAAGCTGTCGCTGTGCCACTTTTTGCAGCCCCGACTGCGGCAGCATGGAGCCGGGAGCCAGCCGGGTTCGTATCCGTGCCTTGTGAGCCTCAACATGATCCGAGCGCAAACAGCTAGAAAATTTGGTTCGGTTTCCGACCCCAACTTTCCAGCGGGGTCTTGAGAGCGACCCTGGCCTTTTTGGTGTTTGGCCTGGTCTCTCTTCCAGCTTTCCTCAAAGGGCCGCCAGACAACCCACAGGGGAGAGCCCGGCGAAACAAAAAGGATATTAGATCCCGTATTTGCCACGTATCGGCCCATGTTGATATCAGCTTACAAGCCCCCTGCCAAGGTCGAAAAAGGGTTGCAAGTTAAGACCTGTTCACCGAATTTGCCTAGAGAGATTGAATCAGTGTTGGGCAGTGCTACTTTGGCATTGGTGCAATTCTGTATAATACTAATGTTGAGAAGGGCAACGCTCCATATTGCATTTGCTGGGGCACTACTATGCAATACGACAATTGAAATTGATATTTGAATTGGTGAATGCTGCATTTGCAGCGGGCAAGGATTTAATGAAGCCGCAAAGTTCTGAATATGACTTGGGCATGCACACAACGTAAGTGCACTTGGCGGCCCTGCGATGTCACCAGTTTCTACAAGTTATAGATAACAAGTTTGCATGTTCTGACAACAGCATGATTTGATGCATTGGGACTTCCAAGACATGAATTCCACAGAATGATTCGAGGCTTCCCTTGAGCCCAGGGATCGTTTGCAATGCTCGAGATTTGTCTGGCTGAATCGGTTTGCGCGTTTGGGGCTGGCCAGGCGACTTTGGGATGTTGCATGGCCTGTTCTGGTGACCCTCAGAGCCGTGGCCTCCTCTATGATGCTATAAGACTATATTTGTAAGGTGGACCAAGTAGGAAACATGATCTGGAGATCATAATTTTGTCTCAGAAGGTTGCACCAAGCGGAAGCTACAGAGCGAAGCACAAAGATGGATCGATGGCGGAGGGGTCAACAGGAAGGCTCCGTCCTTTGGGCTGCTTTCCCTGAAATTTCTGAAAGCAACCTGAAAAGGGTTTAGGAACACCAAGCCCATACCCACGGACCTGCGATGTAAATTGTGTTGAAAGGTGGGGGCATACTCTGAACGACCAACCCCAGCTGGGAATACATTGTGACCTTGATTCCAATGCCCCTCCGTGATTCAGTTGCTCTTTCGCTTTTTTGTTTTTGTTCCAATTGTTCCCACGAATGGACCCAAAAGAGTTCTCTCTTCTTGCGCAGGGTGTGGATCCAGTTGACACATTTCCTTCTAACATGTGCCCGTACGCGTAAGCATCGTCTCATGAGCCAACCAGCAGTTTTTTCGTTTTGGACATCGGTTTAGGGTGGTCCAGTATTGTCAGCTGCTGATTATTAGGTTGGTACTACAAGGGGCTGAGTATCACTAAAGTTGCGTCCCATGATCAGGACTTTTATTTGGTTTTCTTGTACCCCAAGCCCAATGTAATTGATCAGCCCCTTACATATATATATATGTATATACACAGTGGAATGAACACCTAAGCCTCTGACAGGCTGCGCTTTGCAGCGCCCTTGCGTGGCAGCTTCTTGTGACAGCTCTAGTCCAACATTATCTAATACAATGTACGTGAACCAACCGCAGCCAACCCCAATGAATTGCCTTTTTTTTGCGTTTTGCGTTCTGTGTTTTTTTGTTTTTTGCTGGCTACGAGCCTAAGAGATATCAAGACAAGTATAATATTGAGTTGGCCTTCCATTTTCCAGGTGCTAAGAATGCCCATCCCTTCTTCCACAATCTTGCATGATTCTAGCTGGTGGGTGGGGGGAGCCAAGGAGCAACCAGGAATTCTGTAAGGACATAGTAGGATTTGGCAACCAGGAGTTCTGTAAGGACATAGTAGGATTCTCAACTTTTTGCCATGCATGTGTTTGCGCGGTTTACTAGAAGCTCACCAGGGTTCTCACTTTGGGTCCCTTGCAAACTACCTGGCATAAGGAGCCAGAGATCCAGACAATCATGATAACAATTGATCCCACAGCCTCATTCTCATTTGTTGGGCCCTTGTTTTTCTATGGCATCCAGCGCATCTTGCAGCTTTCTGTTGTTCGGCGCACGCTGCAAAGCAGCCAGCGCCAGGCAAGTGTGAGGATAAAATGGCGCTGTGTGGCCGCTGAAGGGGAGCGCCAAATTGGGTTTCAAACCACGATGACTTTGACTTCGTCCCGAGAGAGTTGCTGGAAATCCAAAGACACCCTCGTCATGGAACCCCATGCATTCATGGATCCGAAGTAGAGGGTCAGATCGGGAGGGTGTAGAGCGGGAGGACAACCCCAGAGATCTCTTTTGTGTATGTTTATTTTTTGCAAAATAATTCATATATTTGCAGATTTACTTAAATCATATATTGTATGCTTCCTGCAAATGTATGGTTTGAGCACAGTGTAGCTTCTTGATCTATGCCGGCACTGACGGGCACAATGTGAGTGAGAGGCTGATTGATTGAGTGGGCAGCTCATGACACACTGTGAATCTAAAGGCTGTGGAAGGTCATGTCAAGTGCACAGAAAGCATATCAGTATAGAAACAATCAATTTGGCATGTCTCACAACACTACTTTAAAGGCAGGTAAAAGGCAGTGGCAATTTGTTAGCCCCGAGAAGCTATCGCAAAAAATCTCAAAAAACTCAAAATCTGCATATTTGGCATTGTTGTTAATCTCAAAATATATATGTTTATCCAATGCAATAGTACTTTAAAGGCAGGGTCGATTTTGGGAGCCCCGGAAATATATCTCAAAAAGTCTCAACATATCTCAACAAGTCTCGCAAAATCTCGAACGTTCTCATTTTGCTCAAGTAAAACGAGTGTCCCGCATCTCCTGGATTTTTGGTGAGGAAGCAGCAACACTACAGAACAGTAGGTCCGATTCGCGCAGTCAAACCAATGAGTTAAGTCAGACTGGGGTCAGCTGATGTTGAAACGTTGGGACAATCTGGAGCAACACAAGAGGCGGAGACGAATAGCTATATGTATATATATATATATATTGAGTGACGTTCGAATCGTACTGGAAAGTGAGCTGGAACCGATAGCTGGCAAAATGACAAGCAGTCAGCGGAATAGTGCTCGGCCAACACCAATTGGCGGAATATAGCTATAAAAGATGATGATTCAACCAAAAGACGCTAGACACTTACTGTATGACAATAATGATTGACTTGATAACATATTATCTCTTTTTGCTTAGGTAAATGAGAATACATTTGCATAGATATGTTGTCAATGAGTTTGGAAACCTTCTTGATCTAAACCCTACTGATCTGAGCCTGGACTTTCGGTCAATGATGCATGGATAGCAATAGTGGGGTCTTGGTTGGGATGATATGTGCAATTAAACAGCCCCCATTCCCATTCGCAGGCTCTTGCTGCTGAGAATTCAGTGCTTGAGTCACATGTCGAGCTCACATCCACTTCCGAGCACAAACTCGGCTCACCCGGAAAGTTTCTTGCCTGGGATTTCCACTTCGATGGATGCTTGGGCGATAGCCATCTCACAAAAGAGATGTGTGCCGTCCCTCACCGTCTGTGAAACTTCCTTTTCTTCGCTTGAGGTTGTAGACTTGATTTATGGTTGCGGTCGTGACTGGCAATATCAGATATCATATTGGCGATTTGGCTGTGTGTCAAAAGCGGGGACCCCCTACATGGTGGCGGTTTCAAGGGAAATCAAAGGAAACACACACACACACACACACGCACACTGAAGCAGTTATCGAAACAGGCGAGTGTGCATGCCGCTTGCTTAGCTTGAGCAGGCCTCGCGCGTGGCAAGGCTCAAACAGCTTATTAAGGGAAGTCTTCAGCAGATAGGCAACGAATGCAAAGACCCTCACGCGCTTGCTTGCGCCACGAGTTTTTGCTTGGTCGTTGATTGAAGTGAATTGTGTTGCTGCGGCATTCTATATTTACTTAGGGGATGGAGGTCAGGTTCACCCTTGGGCGGGGAATTGATATCACTTTACGGACCCAGCATTGGCTTTGGATGTCTCATCATCTTGAAGATTCCTGGTTCCACTGCACAAAGCAAGCGCTGCGAGCATGCAAGCATTGGCTGCAACTATGCAAGTACAGAAATTCATAAGGACCCAATCGGACCCAAGACCTTATTTGAGGTCGCTGGGGGTTCCACTGCCCAGAAGTCTTGGGTCTTTAGGGCATCCGGCCGGTCACGGGGAGAAGGCATGGTCGCCATGACAAGGCATCTGGCGTGTGCTGTTTCGCTCGCGCGGGTTTACCATGGGCCTATTCGGCCTATGGCACAGATCAGTTTAGATTTCTTGGGGTTTTCAACATTGCACCAGCATAGACCCCAGATAGCATGAGGCATGGGAGATTGCAACAGCTGACCAGCACCTTGCCATCCCCAAACAAGCACCAAAGCCACTGCCAACATAAGCACGTCGCAATGGTCAAGGCAGCACCCCGGCTGCATGACCAAACAAGTACCGCCAGCAACCACCGCACCACAGCACCTTGAGCCCACCAAACAGCAACCTGTCCAGCACCCGCCACAGCACAGCACCAAGACCAGCAGCGCCAAACAAGCACGGCCAACAGCGCCCTGACTGCATCGCAAACAGGCACCT